AGAAGATCAAGGAATGCAGCCATCAGTATGAATTGAATCTCACTGTCAAGAAGACAAAGATTCTTACCACTGGACCTATAGGCAAGAATATGATGGATGGATGGAAAGAAGATTGAATCTGTCAACAGCTTCATCTTGCTTGGATCCAATCAGGAAATCAGGAGAGGCATTACACTAGGAAAATCTTCAGTTAGGGACCTTCCCAAATAATTGAGAAGATGTCATTTTGAGGATTAAAGTGCCTCTAATTCCGGCCATGGTCTTTCTGATCACTTGCTATGCATCTGAGAGATGGACAGTGAATAAAGACAACAGAAAAAGAATTGATGCCTTTGAGTTGTGGTGTTGGAGAAGAGCACTGAACATCTGATGGACGTCCAAAAGAACAAACTGAGATGTCTTGGAGAGGGTGCAGCCAGAGTGCTCTTTGGAGGCAAGAATGACGAGGCTTCGCCTCGTATACTTGAGGCATTTTGCTAGAGGAACAATTTTGGAGAGGGACATGATGCTTGGAAGGGTAAAGGGTCTGCGAAGGAGAAGACCCTCAACAAGGTGAATTGAAATGGTGACTGCCACAATGGGATCTTGTGTCTCAGGAAGTGTTAGGATGGCACGGGATAGAGGGGGGTTCAGATCTTTTGTTCATGGTGTCATTATGAGTCATACTCTACAGCACCTAACAACAACATAATTTTAGATGTCAATAGACTACCTTTTAGATATAACTATAATTTTAATTTAAAAATGTAATTTAATGTATTTAAATTTTAGTTGAAAGAACTATTATGTCTTACAGAAGCAGGCTACTAATACTCTCTTTATAAATCAATAATTGATAAAATTTATTCTTTTTTTTAAACCTTAAGCCAAAAATTTTGTTTTTAAAAATTAGAAAGTCTCACTTTAAAAGTAATCTCTTAGCATTTACCTGTTATATTTTTAAGGAGATTTTACCTTATCATTCAATTTCCTAATTTGCCCAAAGTATCTTGTGTATATGTATTAGGTGTAAATGATATTTTTAATATATTTTTAGCAAATCTATTTGCTTATATATTTAATGTTTCTCAAATTTACATCAATGTGACATTTTTTCTTACATAGACATTTAGAATGTACATTTGCAAAGAAATATATTCACAAATATTAATTTTCTTTCACCTTACTTTTTGAAATAGCATGCCCTGTTCCACTTTTAGAAGAAAATATAGATGCTCGTCCCAAACAAGAAAGTTATACAGTTGGAGAAGTGCTGAAATTTTTCTGCAGAAGACGACTTATAAGAGTTGGACCAGATTCAGTTCAGTGTTACCAATTTGGGTGGTCGCCCACTATTCCAACATGTAAAGGTCAATATTTATTTTAGAAATGCTATGTTATTGCTTATACATTTTAATGGCGAAAAGTATTACATTGGGAAGATCTGGTTGTGTAGTTCACAGGAAGTTGCACTGTTAATTATAAGGCAGTACCTCTCTAAAGGTATAAACTTTCTAACTGCTCTTCAAGAGAAATATGGTTAATATCCTCCCATGAACTTTACAGCCTAAAAAATCCAGTAGAGAGTCAGCTATCATGAGTTCTGACTCCAAAGTAATATAAGAGTGATGAGTGAGCATAACATGTTAAAAATTTGGCAAACTCTAAAGAAATGAGAGTTAAAGTTGTTAATCTACAGAAATTGAAAGGCATTCATAGTTCAAGTTTATATGATCATATAGTAATTAGTTTTACGTTTTCTTAATTGAGGAGTAGTTCTACTTATGTGTCTTGAAGTATATAATGGGACTTGTTTGTTTGTTTAATAGCTCCAAATAGTGTAAGTGTGGTTGAGAAGCATTCATTCTTTTTCTTATAACATCAAACTATTATCAGACTGGAAAACATATCATACAAACCTTATCATGTTTTAGGAGCCTATTTGATAATAGATTACATTGTGTGCTGCTAATCAATTGAGTCCTCCTTTTGCTTTGTGGAGAAAAGATGAAGTCGTCTGTTCCTATAAAGATTTATAGCCTCAGGAACCAGTGGAGAGGAACTATGAATAGAAATCCACACAGAGTGTTATTTGAATTTGTTTTTATCATGTTTTATTAAATAATCAAGTCAACAAATTTTTCAATTATTCAATGTAAAATAAAAAGTTTGTTGTCACTTTCTTCAAATAACTATTTTCCTTTAAAATGTTAGTTTAAATTAATAATTCATACAGTAAATCAAAAGTCTCAATTATTATTAGTATGTTTGTAATACGATATTTATGTAACTATTTACATTTCTATGATATGATAATGTTTTTGCCATTATGCTCAATTGAGTAAACCTAATGAACAACTACTGTCTTATGCTGTGCAATCCTCAAAATCTCTGACATAATCGAGCCCGTTTGTGACAGTCACTGTGTCAATCCATGTGAGAATATAACTCCTTTTCTCTGACTCTTCACCTTTCCTGGAATAGTATCTTATTCCAAAGACTGGTTTCTCTGATGGTATGTCCAAAGTATTTGAG